ACTGGAAAGGGGTGCACAGTGCTCCCGATATCTTTGCAAGAGGATGAAGGTCTAAGTCTTTAGAGTCCTGGTGCTCCTTGTCTTGCTGTATGGCTGTGAGACATGGACGCTATCCAGTGAGCTGAGACGAAGACTGGACTCCTTCGGTACTGTGTCTCTTCTGAGAATCCTTGGGTACCACTGGTTTGACTTTGTGTCAAACGAGCGGTTGCTAGAGGAGTCCCGAATGAGGCAGAATACCTGCATTGTGAGGGAGCGTCAGTTACGGCACTACGGCCATGTGACGCAATGCCCAGAGGGTGATCTGGCTCACAGAACCGTTGCTGATGACCTGAGCAGCTGGACCAGGCCAAGGGGACGCCCACATAACATAACTCTGCTGTCAGTCGGATTTAGCCACCGACTGGGGGCTAAATATCAAATATCTACTTCCTGAACTTCCCGATGGCCATTTCCTAGGCTGTTCTGTGTTCAAATGTACAGTTTTTATGTAGTAATAGACTTGGACAGCATAGACTTTTAATGGACATTTGTATATCAGAACTGAGGTTATGTGTTACTAACAAATCCCCAGGAAGGGGTACAGTTCTCAGTATTTTCAGTTCTTGTTAAAAAACAACAGCCCTGTTCTTTATTTAAGGTCAACACACAAAAAAATATTACTTTACGCTCTAGCTGAATTTCCAGAAAGATGGGGAAAGACTTTTGTTTTCTGAACCGTTTACATAATGCCCACTTGATTCAGAAATTAATTTTGCTGTTATTTTATTATTTTTGCTATTCTCGTATGTAGTGAGAGACTTTTTTGTGTGACTTTTTGTTGTGTGAGAAAGTTTTGTGTGACTTCACTTAGAGCCGCAATGGCTAAAACCGTCTTCAGCGATACTTCTGCTACACCGCGACACAAAAACAGAAGGACGTGTCAACATACATGCAGACAGCAGGGGGAGCAGTTTCCACATCTACGGATTTTAGAAAAATTCGGCACCTATCATACGTGGCCCGAAGCTAAGTCGGACACGGCTGATCTAGCTGTGACCATTAAGAGGAATCATTTAACAGCCCTGGTCCCCAGTGAGACCGTGCTTTTATATCCTAGGGAGACATTTTTGTCCTAGGGAGTCAGCTAAGTGAAAATGTTACAATGTATGTCAAATTATCCATCTCCTACCAGCTTATCTTAGACACGGTCGTGGGGTTACAAAGTACGCAAAACGTAAAATCTGTTTCACAGACAAAGTGATTCTGAAGAAAATGTTACCGCTAACGGTAATTTTTGGGCCCTGAGGGATGTCCACTCTTCCGCTGCTCTCCCAAGGCCGCTGTCCTGATTACACCGTCAACGCTAAGTCAGCTGATTCAGATGACCAACATCTCCGCTGTCTTACATCAGGAGAAGGCACCTTAAGACCTTCTGGGAGGGAAAAGTGGTCGTTTCTCTTCCCTTGAAGCCAGATGCGATGTAGCGTCCTTCACTTTCGACAAAGAAGGAGAAGGAATTTGAAGTACAAGGTTTTATTATTGTCATCTGCATATAGCACAATAAAATTATGTTACGAGACGGACATGCGTCTCAGGCATATTGGAAATAGAACCTGAGGAATAAGCTGCCAAAGTGTTAATTATTGTACGATTTGGGGTGCGATCAGCTGCCTGTGGTATAGAAGTGGGGACTCGAACCAGCAATCGGGGGGTCAATAGCACTCTAGGCCAGTCCCAACCCAGTCCTCAGGGACCCCTGGACAGTCCACATTTTTTCTCCCTCCCAGCTCCCAGCCAATCAAGAACACCGAATACCTGGTATAAGTGTGTGTGGGGGGGGGGGGGGCAAAAATGGGGATTGTGTGGGGGGTCTTGAGGACTGGGTTGGGAAATACAGCCCTAGTGTGCTGTATCTCAGAACCATCCTCACAGTCAAAGTCACAGTCGTGTCAGCAAGCATTCACACGCACACCAAAGACATCTCCACTGTTCTCTATTGAACGTACAGTAGAGAACCCATAAGGTCTCCTGGGCTGTAACGCAGACCATGGATCTCCATGCAGGGAGTGGCCCGAAAACCTTCTGGAGCTTCTCTCAGCAACACTGTTAGCTTTAGAGCTTCGTTAGAGAAGCAGGGTCACAAGTTATTCAGAAGGAAAGGTAAAGATGAGAGACAGTACCTCAGTTTTGCCCCCCGGAGCTGAGGTATGGGGGGTAATTATCTTGAACTGAGATCTATATCCGAGTTTCTGTTCAGCTGATTTTCAAGAAAGATGCCCAGTACAGTGTTTGTGTGTGTGTGTGTGTGTCTGTGTGTGAACCTCAAATCTATACATCTGAGAGTTTTGGTTGGGTGTGTGTATATGTCAGCACCTCAGACCTATAAATGTGTGTGTACGTGTCATTTTTTATATTGCTGGATCATCTCTCCTGCGATGTGTGGAAAACAGGTGCTGCAGCCCGGAAGCCACACCTGCAAAGAGGAACTTCTGCTCTTCGCAGTTTCCAAGGGCTTCGGTTGGCTTATAAGGTCACATATCAGAGTGTGCAAACTTCTACTTCAGTGGTTTCAGCAGATTATCTCCTCAGCTCATCTCTCACGGCGCACACTCACACACTAAGGAAATATTAACAGGCACCAAATAACATCTCGTTTTGCAACTGTGGATAGAAATCTTAGAGCATCAGTGCCCACACAGATGAAGCAGGGAATCCCCCCCACCCCGGACCATGGAGGTGTGAGGTCACAGTTCTGCCCTCTGTGTATTAGTCTTTATTTATTTTACATGTTGCTTTATGTAGCAAAACACAAACACAGCTATGAATACTGCTGTACACCAGTTACAGAGCTTGGTTTAATTGCTTGGGGATGTCTGGGTTATTACAGTGCGTCTCTCATCTGGAGTTTACAGTGTAACTCTAATCTAGCTAACCACAAATTCGACTGCTGAACCAAATGTGAGACAGCAGGTCAGCAGGAGTTCTTGGCGCCAGCAGGGGGCGCCGTCATAACATCGCTGCTATGCTGGCATGCTGTCAAGGGTTTGACTCAGTGGCACTGAGATGAAATGGTGGTTCAGCTGCTTAATTATTGCTTATGGGGTCTTAATGAGCTCATAGCTGGCCTCAGCTGAGACGTGCGAGGCTGCATCGGTAGGGGGCTAACGAAGCACATGGCCAGACACACACCAGAGGCTAGCAAGCTGCTGTACCTAAAGGGGCTGAGGAGAGATAACCCCACAAACCTTCTGACCACTAGCTAAGATGGGGCCCTACTCAAAACTCACTTTGGGGCCCCCTGACACCCCTCCCCCAAATCTAAATAAATAGCTAGCATGTTCAGTCAAAAAAACGTAGCTTGGTTAGCAGCTGGTTAGCAGAACATTCAGCTTTAGCATCTCCAACATAAGGAATGTGTTTATTTCATATTTAGTGTAGTGACAGTTTGTGGCCAACAGGGGGCCCGAAACAAATGTGTGGTTTGAGTGGTGGTAACCAGTGAATCAGAAATCTGCTGCTAACTGGACCATTATGTGGTTTTTTTCGCTGTTCCATTGGCGATGTAGTTGGACAGCCCTGAAACCCAAACGGGAAGCCAGTGTGCGAAGCTCTATGGAGGCATCCGCGGCGAACAAAGAGCTCTTGTCCGAGGCCGTGTTGACCCTCGTCCTTGCTGTCCACCAGGTAAGGGGCAGCCTCGGTATTTCAAGGAGTGCTGATCCGCTTTTGGCCCGTGAATTATGTGGGAGCTATTTTCAGACAAGGGAGGAGGACAGGCGGGATGGATCTCCCTGAGGATCGGTCCTTCTGGAGAAACAGCTGTGTTGGCACATCCACAGCTGTCCCTACAGCTGGCCAAGACACCCCAGCTAATCCTGACGCCTCTCCGCTGCTCCCTACATAATGGACAATAGGGGTCTAATGACCTCGGGGGATTCTGTTCTATCCAGTTCAGCAGCGTCAGCGATTAATTCAATTTGCCAGAGTCCCGCTGGGGAATAAAGAATGAAGCAATTGCTCATTATACTACACATATTACAGTAGCCACTGCAGGGTTGACCTTTGACCTGAGCTGTGGAGCACACAAGGAGGCGAAGATGGGTGATAGCCGGGCCTTTTAATTTGCCGAAAATTTGCATTTTGGCCAAATGCGAACCCCGCCCAGACGTTATGTAACGGCGCTAACCATCTGTTCGGGACCTTGATGAAGTGAGTTCAGTGCGATAAAAATACTTAGCGATAGGATTCATCCTGACACACTTTGCCACGCACGGAATTACCGTTGCGGAGAAGAAAGGCGAGCCCTCAGCATAAACATGATGCCACGTCGACAAAAGATGTTTCAAATGTTTCCCCTAAAAATAGCAAAAAGGTAGCCATAACATTCGTTTGTAATGTCAACTTAAACTATGAAATACTACAAAATTATAATAATGCAGTAAATTCCACTGCTCACATGTATTGACCTGAAAAGGCGATTCTGGAACATAGAAGTTAATTTAGAGTTCTATAGTCGAGTGCCAAAATTATTTAAATAAAAGTTCATACTTTTTATACCTTAGTGGAGCCATTGTCTGTTCTTGTATTTCTCAAATCGAGCACAATCAATTTAGAGGGATGGTGCGGGAGCTTCAGAGCTGTGTGGGTTTTGCATGTTCTTCTCATGTTCTAGCCATGTTTCCTCCAGACCCTTCACTTTCTTCTCATAGTCCAAAAACAACCAGTTAAGTGAATTGGAATTTGTATATGTTGTGATAGCTTCCTGGGATAGGCTCAATGTTACCCTGAACTCGAAACTACGGTCTATGGGAAATCCATCTATTTTCTAAATGCTAATCCAGGTCAAGGTCACTTGGAGTCCATCCAAGCAGCGTAGGGTTCAAGGTTCCATCACAGGGCACATACACACACACATACACACACACACGGATAATACAGACAGCATACTCAATGCAATGTATCAAGTCCAGCTATTTACTGCTAAGCACAGGAAACAGTCAGCGAGACAAATTCCTCTGTCAGTATTTACTTCACAATTTATTAAATACAGCATATGCAATTATAATATACTTATGTACATGTACACACACTGTACATCATTTGCAGTTTATGGTAAAATTTTATTGCTGCATGACCGTCTTAGACAACCCGGTACAAATACGCTAAGAGTCTTAGCGGTAGAAAATGTTGCCTATTACGCTACAGGATGCAATGGGAGGTCTGTAAAATCCGGAAAAGTTCTATCGCGAAGAGAGCGAGACATGCATGGTGGCCGTAAAGAGGAGGTCCAGAACGTCCCACAGAAACAACATCGCAATATCTCGTGCGTGATACAATATGACAATTAGTCACACAAGTCAGGTTGTTTTTCGGACAGCACTAATCCATCATCTTCATGTGAATGACACTTTTTAAACCAACACTGATATGACTGCACCTCGGGTTAATGAGGAAAAGCAACATATTCAAGGTTAAGAGCACCTTTTCCCAGGTAGAACAGAACTTCTTCTATGATTCCAACCTAACTGAGAAACCCCCTCTGGAGAGGAGCCATCGATATCAAAGTTGCAGAGATTAAGGCTTTTCAGAGACACTGGCATCGATGTGTACAAGCTATTCAAGTGTTACCTCTGTGACATTCGTGGACTGAATGGTTGCAATCTCAATCTTGAAGGGTGCTAGAAGCATAGCTCATAGTCAGATTTGTTTTAGCCGGTATGCTAGGTCAACCCTATCTAAAATAGTGCAATTTCCCATTCCTCATCCACCATATTTACTGCTACTGTCATCTGCTTTACATTTATGCTCGTATTTGGTGTGTACGATGCTGCATCGTGACACTTCAGACGGTCTGAGATCCAGGGGACGACACATTACGTCAAGTAGGGAAGTATGGAAGAACAGAGGGAACAACACAAACAAAACCAAAGCACAAAGAAAACAAAACTGAAAAATCCCTGAGGACTACACCTACACATCAAATGGTTTCTTAAAAAAACACAGATAAATTAAAAGTATCATAAGTGCTACAGTACTTCTGAACACTGTCAGTCAAACACATGACCGAGCCACACCGCCTTCACTCTCTCTAGCTGTGTGAGGAACTGTATCCCAACTGAGCCACAATGAAGGGCGCTACAGAAACACTAACATGATGCTAACAAGGAATGCTACTCATGCTTTGGGAGAATTGCGATTGTGCGTTGAGTCAGATGTGCCCTTCTAAAGTTTATTGTTGAGTATTTGTAGTTCTTTTCTCTCTTTTGAACATGGTAGGATAAAGGGAGAGGGTATGGAGGTGTAGGCGAGTCCTGGCTGTTAAAGGTCTCTCAGGCTGCTCCCGTTCTCGATGACGGCCTTAGCAAACTGCCTGAAGACCCGGTCCATGTAGGTGCTTCTGCGAGGCCACAGGCCCTCCAGGAAGCCAATATGGCCGCCATGGCATGTGATCAGAAGAGCCAGGTTAGGGTTCTGCTTCACTGCCTCCACTGGAATGGCTGTGGAGATGCAAGCAAAGCCTCCGTCTTTACCGAGAAAACCAGACATAGCAATGAATGCAATTCTATAACGACTGAGTACTTGCAAAAACATCTGTTACGGTTCCATACTTATCTTTTAATATGTACTATGGCTGTTAGAGAGGGTAGTATAGTAAACAATGAGGTAATATAGTAGCTAAAGACAAAATGCGTAATTTGACGAGCACTAGCTCTGACAGGCTCTGCTGTAGATGCATTGGGCAAGTTCTTAACCTTTGACCCTAAGTACTTCTGCTCTCTAACTGATCTCTTGGCTTCACGTCATGCCGGCTCCCGTTTTTCAGCCAATCCTTGCTCTTATTTGGCACCCAGGCCTCACAGCATTACTGGAGTCACCCGCTCAGTAATGGTGTTACTGGAAAGCCCGAGGCTCGAGCACGGGTGCACTGCTCAGTCTAATAGGCAGGACACCATGTGCCCAGGACCCCCACAAATGCTTCGACGTCACATCTCACCATGGTGTGGGGAGAAGACATCATCAGCCGCGTTGAGACACAGCATGGGCACCTGGACGGACTTGAGGCGGTGCACAGGACTGGCGTCTTGGTAGTAGTCCTCATTGGTTGGGTAGCCAAACATGATGGATGTGAACCTCTCGTCAAATTCACGGATGGTCTTTGCCTGAGGGGGGACAGGGAGGGCAGGTGACACAGTGCGGCGAGCTCCAAATATTTGACATCAAAATATGAGAAGATCTGGCAGCCTCCTTCTCCCACAAATGCACTTCCTAAAGGTAATTTAGCAGCCCTGTAGGAACATCTAAGTCACCCTTCCATCATAAACACGCTCATGCGAGATCTGATTCTTCTGTAAGACAAATTATCCAGGAGGATGATTTTACAACGACGCAGTGATTTTATGGATGTGTCACCCCCATAATGGTTGGTTGAGGACGAGACAGACCTGAAAGGCCAAACGATGGCTTAACAGTCTCTAGTTCACTGAAGACGTACCTTCATCACGTGATCAATGTCAAAACATTTCTCAAGGACTGTCCTATGCCTGGAATAGAGCAGAAATTCACATGTAACAATCATAACAACCGCGACATAATGATCAACTTACTGTAGAGGTTTGTAATGCTAAAATGCTATCCTGCAGAACTATTTACGCTAATCTGTTCAGTCATGAGTAAACGATAGATACTCATCAGCGTAGCATCTGAAGGAGAACCACTTCAACAATCACTGATGAGTGGGCAGAGTCTGAAGGCCAGTCAAGGTCGCTGGCATGCTCTGCCAGGACTGGGAACTCGTCACTCCCTTCGAAATTATAAGGCTGTAATGTGAGTCTGAAACCAAGAGGGCGACGAGCAGCTGACTGCTTGTCAAAGAGACATAGTCAGGCTGGCTGGCACCAAACTCCAAGGTGACGTGCGAGGCAAGGTTCATGATGAGTTCATGATGAGTTCATGATGGGTTCATGATGCTGTTACCACCTGACTTTAAGCCTGATCATCATGAAGAGCCTTTATCATACTTCTGAAGCCCATCCTTGCATCCATCTATCCATCCATCCATCTATCCATCCAACCATCCATCCATCTTCTAACCACCTGTCCAGATGAGGATCGCCATTTTAACACTACCTGTATGTGGCTTTTTAAAAATTATTATTATTACTGTATTGTATCAATCGCTAAGTCCTTCAGCAGCCTTAACTATGGGTTTGCAGGGAAAAATAATTACAACAAAAGAGTGAATAACAAGTTAATGAGCAACAGCTATCAACATGTCTTCTGCTCCACGTCCGCTTCAAAGATGTGCTTCATCCTGATAACAGCGGGAGAACGTAAATTATAGCGCCGTCCTCTTTGACTTTCTGGGGATAAAGACGCACACAAACAACTCACAACAAATCACTTTGTCATCCTCGGACTGAGCCAGCAGGGATAGGCGTCGTGTTACGCGTCGCGGGTGTCTTCTGAACGTACGTCATCAGATTCCCTCATCACCTTCAAGAAACGATTCAAGACCCATCTGTTCCAGTAATTTCTTGCCCGATGTCTCTCCATGTTCCCTGAATGCTATTAATTAATGTTCGAATCATTGAATAGCTGTTGTATCAGATTCTTGCTTTCTTTGAAGGATGTTGTGTAGTTCTTGCTGCATTACTGCTTACACTTGTACCTGGACATTCATTGGAAGCTCAGCTTAGCTGCCCTTATGTGTAGTTGACTCCTATTTGTCTCATTTGTGTGTCACTTTGGACAATAACGTGCCTGCCTGTTGCACGGGCATACCGTCACCAGTAGGGGAGCTGCACACCTGTATGTTTTGCACAATCTTTACGGGTGGGTTTTGGTTCTCGCCATGACTGTCGCCATGACTCCCCATGGTTGCTGCCTCATCTGCTCCTTGGCCTTGTCGGCAAGCGAGTTGTTGTCCTGGGATTGGAACCGAGTCCCGGGATCTGTTAGAACTTGAAGGGCGGCTCTGAGCCCCATGTCACATGGACCGTGCGGGTGGCTCGTCCGCCGGGAGGGCGTTGTGAAGATACCCCGGGGGCCACGGAGCTAATCTAGGCTCTTGGTCCAGCTGGGCCTCTGTGTGAGCTTGTCAAGGGCAGATCCTCCCTGTGATTCACCTCAGGATCCTCGCTAATGTGCCACTGTGGCCCCCACCGTGCCGCCGTGTTATCTTCTCACGACATTGAAACAACCTTTCTGGTGAGGAACTCATGGTACAGGCGTTCGAAACAAGAAAATTATACGCTACGACAATTATGAAATGTTCCCACAACAATTAGCTACAGCTAAAACTTCACCTGGGATGTGGTGGGGAGGGGGGGGGGATTCCTGAGCACCCATCCTTTCTTCATGACCGATTGCAAGTGCCCCCGCCTGTCCTGAGTGTTCTTTTTTGAATATTATGGAGCATGAGCCCCCCGTTACAGAGTGCCCATTTTTGATCACAGACGATCACACTAATTTCTCCCCTCCCCCCTCCATAAAGTTTACTGGTGGAGCACCCGCCCTTCAAAAAGTCTCTGCACAGCCCTGTAATCAATCATAGAATCAATACAATACATCAAATTGCAAATGTAAGATGAACTGCAGTTCTGATGTAACAGTAACCGTCAGTAATCGATCTGTGATCGATTGAAATAGTCTGATCCTGTGAACATGCCTGATGTCTGTTGATTCTGTGGGCTTGAATCCGCAGAAACTGACACAGATTAACAACCCAGTGCCAGATACAAGGCGGCATATAACACAAAAAGGCAAGCTGGTATAAAACAGCAGCAGACACGTCCGTTTGCTCAATGCACCTTGCGTGTCTTGGGGAAAATGTCGCCACCCAGTAGGAGGACCTCGTTAAGGGCTTGGGCTTGCTAGCTTGGACATGTATGTCACGAGGGCAGAGTATCTCCCGAGATCGGAGCTTTGGAAGGCCGCCAGCAGAGGATCGCTTAGTCAGGCCTGCTTAATAATTAGCATGCTGCTGAGTGTGGATCCCATTGCCCTGGACGTAATCCCACTGCCTGTGGGTTCACACAGAACCAAGCTGGTCTGCAGAGCCCCATGCTGAACCTAAAAGACCCGTGAGGATCCAAACAGGCCTCGGCTGATTCAAAATCATTCAAAATGACCCATCTGCATGCAAACGGACACCACACCTCATCCTCATGGAAATCAACCATCGTTACCCATGCTAAATGGCGCGATCTGCCCTGGGGCGGGGCAGACCCACACTGACCGGTCCACAGAGGCCTGCAGGCAGCTGGTGAGGTAGGAGTTGAAGAGGAAGCGGTCCAGGGGTTTCTCCAGCGAGGCGGTGCACTCGAAGACGTCCCAGCCGGCTGAGAAGACCACCACCCCGCGCAGACACGTGTCCTGGCCCTTGCGGCCCAGATAGTTAGCCAGCATCATGCTGACAGGGAGACAAGCAGAAGGGCTTGTTCCGAAGGAGCAAAAATAATCAGGATACTTAACGTTTATCTCAATATGAAGTTCTGTGTTGAGAAAGGGCAAGACAAATCGTTGGCAGTGCAGTTTTAATCTAGAACCTTCTGTGCCAGCGATAACCATGATCATAAAATATTCCAAAAAATAGGTTAAAGGATTCTGGGTAATCTTTACAGCACTGCTCCTCAAAAGGTGTGATGTTTGTTTTTTTTTCCGTCCGTCTGTGTAATTTAAGAGAACAGTGGACGATTCAAATGGGCTTTTTTTTTTCGTGGGAGGGCGACATACTCACCCTCCCATGGAGACCCCGGCAGCCATCATGGGGGCTCCCTCACTGCTCCTGTACACGTGCTCGATGACAGCCTCCAGGTCCTCAGTGTTGGCGGCGCAGTACGTCCTCGGGGTCTGAGCAACATGGGAGGGAGCAGGTATTTAGAGACCACCTCTTATAGACAGTAAGGGTAGGGGGAGCGTCAGCAGGTCCTAGAACAATGGGCATTCATGACGTCATGCCGAGGGTCAGATGGGATGGGAGGAGGGCTACAGATGAACATGATGAGAGCACACGGAACAGCCCCCCCCAGGGAAGCAGGCCCCCATACCCACCTGCATCTGGCCCCCTATGTGATCACATGGTAAAGCCCTGATTATGGCCGACTGGCCCTCAGCATCCCACCAAGGCGCCCGAGCGCAGCGATACACGGATCTCACCCCCGACGACGCACAACGAAGCAATTCATCTGAAGCTGCCCCCCCCCCCCAGCCGGACCCTGGCTCCCTGCATCTTCCTGTTATCAAGCCGGAACAATGGCATTCTTGACACATACAGCGGTGCCAGTGTGGTGTAGCAGAGGGCATGAGATGGGGGTCTGGGGCTCTGTACAGGGGCAGGGGCACAGGGGGACTGACCCCAGACAAAAGCTGATTGGTCCCCAGTGTGCCCCCTCCCCTAGCATTCACTGATTTAAAACATTTCATTGGCTAATGACTAGGATGGACTCCTCTTCACATCACACACACACACACACCTTAAAAACAACTAGAATCGGCCCTGTGGGGGCGTAGAGGAACGTAGACAAACTGCAGCGGGCCAAGAGGGATGGACCGCAGAGTCAGGAGGCCCGCAGGAAGTGCCGAGTCAGCAAAGAGCAGAGCGAGGGAGGCCGGCGAGCACCAAGCCACCCGGGAAGAGCACGCTGTCAGCAGCATGAACCATCAGGAGGCCTGCCCTCCGTAAAGCGCAGCGGGCCGCGGCGGTGAGGGCAGCAAAGTCTAACAGGAGGCATGCAGAAGGAGGGCGGGGCCGTGTTGACTCAGGAGTGAGAGAGACAATGGCTCCTCCTTTCAAACCCGACGTTTTGCTTTTCCACCAAAAAAAGGTGCCAGAGTAATGGCCAGTCTGAGAAAGCAGCAGCGTCTGCCCCAGGGCTTAATCTAAAACCATCACCCCCCCCCACTTCACCATATGCTGTGCCAGTCTTGTGACTGGAGACGTCACCACCCCCCCAAAAAAAAAGACATCACGTTCCCACGAGGGTCACATTACTTCCATAGTCACAAGCGGGCCTCCGGAAAGCTCTGCGAAGAAGCGCCCCCCCCCCCCCTCAACTGTAAGTGTTCACAGCATCCATTTCCCAGCCTGTTCCAGGATTCAGACGGTACCAGAGAGGTTTGCATCCCTCCATGCAGCACAAACCGATGACTTTGCACTTTCATCTCATTACAGACTGAAATGGGATCAAGGAGCATGAGAACGATCCACGGATGTCATGATCTCACCCCACGTGACCCCAAATACAGCGGCCTCCAGAATTTCTGACAAAATGACCAAGAAAACGCCACAAAGTGCATCCTCACTGTTCACCTCATTGTTTATCTTACACTCAAATTATGAGACGAATTTAACCTTTCCAGGAAAAATACGTAAAGAAATCCTGAAAGAAAATTTAACATTTTATATATTGAACATTATTTTCCTCAAAACACACACATTACAGTAACTGGAGCGGCTAAAAATCTCATGACCAAAATCTAAATTATATACGGTCACATTTCACCTTTTATAAGCACATCAGAACTTTTAGGATCTCTTGAGTGGCGATGCCTGACTTCCTGTGCCACTGGGGTATAAATATGAGGTACCACACAGGCCAGGTCCCTTTGCCATCCATCACCATGGGTACAACCACAGCACGCACAGATGGGATGAGACAAACGGATGTTGACCTATATAAATCAAGCTGTGGCTATATAAATAAACAAAGCTGCACATGTGAAAAACCTATTTCTGCTGCTAAAGCGATAATTAAGAGGAAGCGTAAAACAGCTGGAGCTGAGATGTATCTGGCTGGGAACAGCAAGTCTCCAGAAGCAGGAGAAGATGCTGCATCCACACCAGCAAACTGATCGGCAGGTTTGCCAGGAGGAAACCTCTGGTGGAGCCAAACCACAAACGTCGGTGAAATGTCGGGTTCAGTGGTGAGATGAAACAAAGATACAGCTTTTTGGTTCGGCTGGAAATCTTGGTAGGATCCGTGGCGGCAGGAACTTAATCTAATGTGAGATTTTAGACCAAAATCTGGCTGCTTCCACCCACCAGGAAGCATTGGGCCATGGCTGGGTCATGCAGCTGGGCAATGATCCAAACTGTACCTCCGAATACAAACAGAAATGGCTCGCTAACCGCATAAGGCAGCTTTGGCAGTGCTGGCCTCCCCAGGCCTGTGAGCTAAATCCCCAAAGATATCCTGAGGGATTAGCTAGACAGGAGAGTTTGCAAACAATGTCTGAGGATTTTGAATGAAGGAGTGGTATCAGATCCCTTTAAATATGTGCCCAGATCCTTTTAAATCTGGTCTCAGATCCCTTTAATAGTGTGCTGAGATCCTTTTAAATGTGTGCATAGATCCCTTTACATGTGGTCTCAGACCCCTTTACATGTGGTCTCGGATCACTTTATATGTATGCTCAGATCGCTTAAAATGTATGCCTAGATCCATTTAAATCTGGTCTCAGATATATTTAAATCTGGTCTCAGATCCCTTTAAATGTGTGCCCAGATCCCTTTACATGTGGTCTCAGATCCCTTTACATGTGGTCTCAGATCCCTTTACATGTGTGCCCAGATCCCTTTAAGTCTGGTCTCAGATCCATTTAAATGTGTGCCCAGATCCCTTTAAATGTGTTCTCTCATCTCATCCACCAGTTTAAGAGAAGAGTAAGAAGTGCAAGAGTGTTTTGATAAAAAGAATTTAATGTAAATTATAGTTGATATCTTTTACTATACAGTTTGCTGTATTATTTAGGTAATAAGTACCTGGTTAATCATGATTTGCCAAAGAAATGAGCACAGAAACACTGAGAGACTCATGTTCTCACTTACCAGTAGTTGTTCCCCGGCCACCCCTCTGTTGTTGAAGACCACACATCTGAAAGGCAGCAAACATAATACCATTACACCTCCAACACAGGATTATTCACGTCGTGGTTATAATAAAGTATGCTTGAATTCCATTTGAAAGGTATGCCCTACATTTCGAAAGCCTGGAAGGTATTAACATCAACAAGAACACTTCAAAAGGAACATTTTGCAGGATTTTTTTAAACTTTGTGTTCTTCAGTCCCCTCTGAAGATGACTTTGCAATTTACATGGGGCTGTTCTTACTGCAGTGGGTCTGATCTTCCAAGGCCTGCTCAGAAATTATTCATTTGGGAGGGTGGGGGGTATTACTGTCTTTCTGTTACCCGTGGACCCTGTCACATGATGTTCATGTGTGCGTTTCGGGTGTGGGAACCTCCCTGCCACCTGTCTGGTGTGAGTCTAACATCTCCTAAAAAGCTGTAAGGCTGCTAGGAATCTGCTAGAACTTTCTATGCTTCAAAGATGGAGGTCAGGGAATGCGACGGGCCTTCAAAGCCCACAAGACAGCGGCTTTAGATGCCAGAGTTGACAGACATGACGTTTGAGGAGATCGAGAGCATAGCGGACACCTAATGCCGATGGACAATTCGGCCTCCTCCTCCACCAAATATTTGGATGTATAAAGTGATCGGTCAAATGAAACAGGTGTTGGTTTGAAGGTGGAGCCAAGGGCGTGGATTTGCTTTCAGGATTGGTATTCTCTCACAACATTGGCAGGGGCATGACCCTGCCATCCATCCCCTAATCTACACCCATGGGTGGAGCAGACAGGTGTTCTCCGCATACCTGCTTGTGACGGCAAATGAGTGCATGACCAAATCCCTCACTGTCCTTGATGAAACTTTAACTTGGCCCCATACAATTTTAATTGCCCCGAAGCAGATTACTCCGCGCTACCTCCTCAATGGCTTAGATCCACAGGCACCTACCTGTAGCCCAACTCGCGGCTCTGCTGCACCATGTGCAGGATGTAGGACTCGCGACTGGTGCCGGTGAGCCCCGGAAGCAGAAGCACGGTGGGTCTAGTGACGGGGTCGGGGTAGGCGGCGCTGTCATCGTTGTCAAACCAATCGAGGGAAATCTGTCCTCCATCTGCTGCTCTAATGAGCTCGCTGCGGGCATCCGAGAAAAGGTAGATAGAGACACTCAGAGACGGGATGTCACAAGGCACGGTCCGCCGCTCTCCACCAATGATCAGCGCCTCAAAGTTTCACAGTCGTCTCCTCAAAGTTGAAGTTAGTATTTAACGTCTCTGACGGAGAGCAAATCGCTTGCACCTGTCATGGGGGCCTCGCCTAGCTGCTTACGAATTTTGCGGGCGAAGGCGTCAGAGGTTTTCAGGTGTTTAGTAACGCGTCTGAATTCCCTCTTTCTGATTTCGCCCTGTGTGGACCCTGTCTGGAGCGAGCAGTAGCTCACAGGTGGATTTGCTCAGCACTCGATCACTGTGTCCTCATGCAAGGCAGGGATAACACAGGATGAATGCAGCTTAATGAGAAAGGCAGATTAATGACAAACACACTAGGGAGATTCTATAGCACCCGTGGCCACTACATAAAATTCAGACTGATCGCCATTATTGTCAGATTACATTAAACAAATAACAATATAAAATATTAAACACAAAATCCTGCAATCGACCAGCATCCCATCTGAGGTGTCCCCTGCCTTGTGGCCCAATGCATCTTGGGATAGATTCCAGGCTCCTCTGGCTTTAGATAAGTGGATGGATAGATGTGAATAGATGTCAGGGTAATGACTGTTCTCTTTAATTTACCAGCCCCCAAATGTATGTCTTTCCCTTTAACATCAAATACATGGCAATGTATTAAACAGCTTATATTCTTTAATTCTCATCTGAATATAGGCCAGTGTTTCAGTTCCATTCACTGCTTTTTTTGCGGTTTTACATTAGTGATCTGACCCTAAAATCCTTCATTTTATTCTCTCGTGTTCCTCCTACCGCAAAACGCCTTTCTGTATTTGGTGTGGGAATGCAATCCGGCTGTCCAAAGACTCCTTTGTCTGTACCAGACCTTATGGAATGTTCTGGACCCCTCCCCCTACAGCCCTCGTCCCAGCGAATGCGGTACTGGGGGGGGGGGGGGGTGCAGCACCTGTGCCCAGCGCCGTGTGATGCGTGCGGCACCTTGCACCAGGTGGCGATGATCCCAAACAGGAGCCGCGTGTCTGTCGTGCAACAATTGGCTCTTTTATTTTAGAAGTGTTAACGTGCATCTCTGCAGCTGTGAGGGCTTTATGACAAGGTCGTTTTAGGACACCAATGCCAATTTTTTGCTAAGACCTACTTTGTTGGCTGCTCTCTTTCCTGGTTACCGGATTACAATGAGTTTCTTAAAAGTAATTCTATTAAATTTACTCTGGTGTTCCAAGAGCGTAGGTTTTGTTTTAGCATTGATAGGTCCTAAATCAGCCCCGCCCCCCTAAATGCACACAGTGTTGGCAAGGATATGCCCCTCCCATTCGTGGCCAAGTCTACACCTGTATAGTGTTCTCTATAGCCAAATCTACACCCTTGTAGTGTTCTCTATAGCCAAATCTACACCCGTATAGTGTTCTCTATTTTGTCTATGACATTTAAGTTCTTGTCGACTCCTTTGACTGCTTGAAGAAGGTCATGCTGGCTAAAATTGCAAAATGTTTACATGTAGAGTGAAATATGAATGCAGGAACATAGATTTCTGTTTGAATGAAGTGAACACGGACACGGAAATCTAAAACAGGCCGGAAGGTTCCTCTTGAATCACGTTTGCCTTCAGTTTTTTTGCACAGCAACTTTGAAGTCCGCCACCCTCCGACTGGTTGATGCAATCGCCCTATCAGAGCCCCCAGCTGTGTGTAAGAAGGTTCATTAGGGAGTATTTGAGTACAGGAGGACGATCAATACGCTGGGCCCCTATAAGAGAGACTTAGCTGGAGGAATCCTTCACAATCACTCAGATGGGCCGACTGAGAGAGCAGAGAGGCAGACTACTCAGCAAAGACAGTATGAAATTACAGAGCGTTAAGGATGCACAGAAGGTCAGCCTGGCAGCTTGGCACGGTGGCTGCGGAGAGACCTACTTGCAGAGTGAGGGGGGGCTTTTATAGGTGCACTGGAATCCCTGCATTTTCATGATATATATAAGACTTGCATTTCAGGACATCCTTGGTTGGGGTCAGAGCATTATTAGTCAGCTGCAAAGATCTGCAATCGAGGACAACAGCTTAGTCTAAGTTCAGTCCCAGGTGGTGCATGGACTAAATCATGAGCATGGGAACCAAACCTGAACCCCCCCCCCCCCAAAAGGTGTAATTCTCATTCTCTGCAAAAGAATAAAGGAAACTAAGAGATCGAAATGGCTGGTCCATAGAGGTAGAGAAGGTAGCACTTCCTCTATGTTTGAAATTAAATTAGAAAACAAGGGACTTCGAAATAACGCATTTACTAACATTTTATTGTCATTTAAAAACTCAATTTCACTCTACTTTGCAAAAAAAAAATCACTATTGTGATATTGTTAGATGAATTATCTATTTGCATTCTCTTTTTTTCAGTCACCCCTGCTAAATACCCCGTAACGTCCCCATTTTATGCTATTTTTTAAGTTCGATTCACAGTTTACACGTGAACTTAGATTCCACGTTTGCTTTTATACTGCATCACGCTCAAGGCTATAAGCACAGGATCCCAGCCTGGGAACTGAACCGGCAACCTTTAGGTTACAAGTTCCGTAATATCTACAATCCCTAACAACCATGCTATTTGTCACCCTGAGTGCTTTTCTGTCCCTGGATACTCTGACATATGAGCAGGTCAAGAACCTGGGAACTTGCCTGGACCAAAATGATCCCCTGAATGAGGTAATGTACCCTGCTGAAGGAAAATCTGGCAAAGCTGTCATGCTGTGAGATCAGGATTAGGAACCATGTCTCTGTACTCTTCTGGATGGCTAAGTCCACAGGAGCAGTGATGTATTCTGCAGTCATATACAATGAATCTACGCTTGACTAAATAGCAGGACAAAGGGCAGTAGACCCAGGCCGTGCACCCAGCGCCATCTACGACAGAGCTACTCAACTCTGCTCCCAGACGGGCTTCCGTCCAGAACGTTTCTGGCTCTTTAAGGTCCGCCGGCTCTGTCGGAACTCAGGAGGGGAATGAAACATACTTAACCAAGACAACCGCTGATGGACTTGGCAGTGCTTAGCCAGAAGTAAAAACCTGCAGATGCCGCAGCCCTCTAGAGGAGAAGCTGTAGAGTTCCGTCGCACTGCAATCCCACACACTCGGTCCAGCTTCAGAAACGTGCTGCAGCCATGAATCTGGCCCAGCTTCTGCCCCAATGCTCTGGATTCCATAACGCCAAAAACCTAGAACCTCTTTGACATAAGAATAGTTGTGGAGGGGGGGGGACACTTGGAAGTCGATTAATTATCAAATCTACTTAATTAATGCTCGCCCATTAGTGTCCTGCCTGGTAATCCTCATGGGAATGTTCTTGCGCAGCCAGGGACCACCCAGTCAACACCTCTTACTTTTGCGAAGCTCCAGTGCCATAGATTGACTGGAGTCTAATGCCACGGTGCAGAAAGCCAATGAGAAAGAATCAAACGTCAAGCTGTCACTGCCGATTATGTAACCAGGTCAACGGCTGAAACGGTTGATAATGCAATGTACTTAATCTATATTTACACAGATCCCAAAGGTTCCTCTGCAACGCAGGTGTTTCACCACACGAGTGAGGAGACCGAGAGCTGAGATTATACCTGTTTAGCCTCAGGTTTCTTTTAAGGTTAAGATAACGGAATAACATCCTACTTACGAGAGACAACGGGAAATCAAAGAAAGTGTAACATCACAGACGCCATAACAGAAGGACAGGGTCACACCCATTATCCGTTGAATATCGTTGAAGGCATTTGTCCAATTCTTATGTCTTACTGTTTAGCTGGAGGGGGGGTTCAGCACCAGTCGGAACAGCAACAGAAACCAAGAGAAGGTGGCAAAGTGTCCCTGAGGTGATAACATGAGATGTCATGCAAAAATGTCTCTTTCCACCGATATGTCATAGTGCTGGAACAACAGCAACACAAAAATAGAGAATAATGACTCACTTTCTGTAGGTGACCCAGGGCTTCGCTGTGACGAAGGGTCTGAGGAGGGTCTGAACGCGGCTCTCCCAGCACCAAAAAGTGGGGTAATAGGTTTCCGACACCACGGGACATTGCTCCCTCAGGAACTCGCAGAACTTTTTCCCACCTCCAATAAGCTGAGGTTTCTGCAAAAGAAGGCGAGAATACGCTGTTCTTATCTGTCCGAATGGCGTCACGTCCTGAGCAGTCTTCACATCAATCACCAGACCAGGATTCCAGAACACCATTTCAATCACGCGGCAATGCATCTGCCATTAAAGAGGGACTTTACCAATCATCCCCTGGCTTAACACTGGGAGTGTTGATGCAACACTGGAGTGTCCCAACTTCACACTGACCAGTGCCCATTTTTCTGCGCAATAACAAGAGCCTTTTGAGAGAAGGTCATACAAGACTCCATCGAAGGGAGAATTAAATCATGTGAGCCCAACTTAAAGTCAACATTTTATATTAGGGACGGCAAATAATAACTAACATGGTCGTCTTAGCAGGACAGTCTATGGTCAGAAGTTAAACACTAGTTAAAGAGCTGGACTTTTTAACTAAAATCTCAATAGGAAATCCCAACTGGGAAGTCTAGGAGAATAGATCTGCTGTGATAACCTCTAAATGCTTTATCTGTATTCCAAAGCTTTATATGTTCAGATTAATGTCTCAGTAATACAGTATGTTTCAGTACGGTTACATGTTGTTTCTAATATTTTACACGACTTCTTTTTTTACACAAGCCTTTTAATACGGGTGTGTTTCCTTTTGCCTTATTCACAAGATATAATTTATGACTAATTAATTGTTCGTTTAAAGTAGGTCTATTAATTATTCATATTAACAACTACAGCATTATCGGTTATGTTATGATATGAACGCCGCATATAACATTTACAATTAACTGTAACAAGCGCAGTACTATATCTACTGTTCTCAGACATAAAAAAAATAAATTATTTTCCTAAAACCTTTGTGATGTAGTATAAAATACGTCACCTTTAGAATCGCGTGCTATATGAACGAATAACCTTACACTGCACTTCAATATATCACAGAGCTACGATGATTAATGTACTGAGGTTATTTATTACTTTGATATTATACGCGATGTACAGCAATTTAAAATGACAAACGACGAATCGTCTATAAAACTTTGTCAGATTTTTTTCCTTAATGATATCAATTTGCCTTGAAATACGCGATCTGCACAATCTATTGTCACCGAATGGTCACTAGGGCAAACGTGGAACAGCTGAACGCAAGCATTTTAAAACTGATTATGCGCTTTCGAAATAGAGACCGGTACGTTACGTTACCTGATGCATGCGTCCTATAATCGCAAAAAGCACCTAAATCCATTTGCCTTATCTACCTATGCCCCAACCATACCTTGGCTACAGCGATTAGGTAGTAGCAGGCGTACGCGGCGCTGAAGCCGAGTACGAGTGACAGCCCCACTCCAGAGCCGAAAAGCCCGATTTTAACTTGGTTTTCGAGGTAAACTGGCAGATCCCTTGTCAAGACATTGAAATTGAACTCCAGTGCGATCATTGCCGGGTCCCTGTTACTACACGGATGAAGGCAGCTGAGGGATGCCGCAGCGCAGTCAGCGTGTGCGAGAGTGAGACAAGCGAAAGCGATGACCGGGGAGATGCTGATCCTATAGCAGCCTGAAGGAGGCGATCGCGGACACGTCACTAAAACGCACCCCTAATGACATTCCAAGATACAACACCCAAAGGCTGAATTTGCACAATGGCTTTTTGGGAATAAGCCAATCCTGCAACTGCACGAAACGGGGCCGATCTTGTAATCATAGAGACACCCTGCTGAGGACGGTGGAGGAGGTACAGTGCGAATTCAGGTCGACATGGTTTACAAAGAACAAGATCAAGCTGCATGCAGTCATCAATTATTTGTAAACAGACGAATGCAGCTGCAAAAATGGTATTAAACCATTAATATAACCATTTAGATATGGCATCACGTTTATTGGACAAATAATAAAGATACATTGACAATATATTGACATTGCCCGTAGCATGCCAACGTATAACGTCAGTGTTACTGTGACAACTTCCGGAAAAAAAAATCACAAGTGAGGTTTGCCAGGTAAATTATTTATCTTCTTTTTTCCATATGAGTATATAATACTACGCACACTGCGCAGTCATTTCTGTTCGAGTAATACGATCACGAAGTGGTATTTAAGCTGTGATTATTGTTGGCCGCCACGGCCCCTTGTAGGGAAATGTAGTTCTGTATCCAATTCTTCAGTACACAGTCTTAACTTGGCCACTGGCACTACTAGAGATGGAGGATTGCTATTTGGAAATGTTATTCAGAATCTATAAATTTCAGACTACATATCGCTCCTGCTACACGAAGAATATTCCTCTGAAATAATTCTAAATAAGCCAGTAAGTGTGCCGATCGAAAGAAAATGTTATGAGTATAGGAATTTAATTGATCCTATACAAATAAACGGAGAGCAATAATGTACTACAAAGCTGTTTACAAAAAGACATTGTTAATGAATAGCGAAAATTATTTTAGTCATATTCTGCAATATTTATACCTTAAGCAATTACCGCCATATATCCTAACATTAATAGATGATGGAATATTTGAACATTTGTGCGTATGTAAGGTTAATACCAGACATGACCATCAGTGTTAGTTAAGATTTATGAAATGACCTCGACTGTAAGGAATTTCACTGTACATTTTGCAGCAACTTACTGTAAAATCACAGTAACTTTTCAGAGGAATTACATCTACTCAGCAGAGCATAAATAAAACTAGGAACAAATATAGAAAATGACTGTATGAAGATATAACCCATAAGAACATTTTCCCCAACATTAATAAAAATATTATGTTGCAGAATATCGCCTTCTTTCTTTGGTAGATCTGTGAATTACAATGTTTTGGACACATTCACAAGGAAAACTTTGAAAAACAATACATTGTTTCAGATTACTTAGGTGACTCTAGATGCTACACTGTCTCACATGAAATGTGTTCATTTAAATTCCACTCGAAATCTGCTAGTTTTGGCAGACGAGAGCTCACACGCGGATTAAGGGATGATGACTTTTCGTGGCCCACCCCTTCAGACATTTTACCAATAACCTTCTCATGAAAGGCTTTGGAACCATTTTCTATTCTGATGCCCAGAAAACACCTATATACGCAGAAGTCAAATACATATAAAATCTAATAAATACAAATAACTGGCGTCTATAATTGTTAATTTACAAATAAAATGCTTTCGCTTAAAGATGATGTCATTATTGTTTCTCAGGCAAATTACATTCCATGTAACTCAACTTGCCATGAAGAAGTCTCTTGATAATAAAAATAGTTCTCTCAGAATAACATAGCATGGAATACGTGGGAACCATCAAAAAACAAAGAATTAATAAGACTCAATCATTTTGGCACCTTTTAAAAGAACAAAAATATTGACACAAAAGTCTTTTTTTTACCTTTGTAGAAATTCAAGGGGTAATGTGGCTTCTTAAGAATTTTAGGATCAGTGGTCAGTGTTGACACACCACAATGAAATGTGCCCTCTGCATTTAACACATATGTAACGTCGTGACATAGCAGGGGGCAGCTACTGTAATTCAGCGCCCAGGGAGCAGTGCTTTGGGGGCGGTACCTTTATTTTTTATTTTTAGTAGGCACCCATAAAAACATAAACTGACTCCATTATCAGACTTAGGGTTTATTCATATTTAAGGTATGGTATTGGAATAATCAGTGCTTAAGTAATTACTATGTAAAATGTCCACTGTAGTATGTAGGGTAGGCTTGGGTCTTAGCGATTCTGGCAGGTTGAAAGTCTTCCCTACCACAGCAGGAACAGCAGAAACCCGCAAAACAGAAACTACTTTAGGGTATCTTAGACACAATAACAAATAGGCCTACAGTACCGTTTCGCATTTGCACTTGTTTCATGACTTTCATGCACATATGCAATTCTGCATGGATGAAAAGTGCATCAATCTTCTCCGTGAAGTACGTCATTGGGAGCGTTATGGCATACCAGGCTACCTTGCACCTTCGCCACACTAGGAGAGGACGGTCTTTACGTCATTTGTTGGGTTGGATCGGCTCAGAAATGCTGAACAATTTTCTTCCGCTTTTCGTAGGACTGTTCCAGCTTGGATAAAATTGGAATATCTGTCTATAATTGGAAGTACATGTAAAGGTCATTCTGAACAAACAAATATGGCCACCTTTTTTAGAGTTCTGCTATGGGGGGAGCAGGTGTGGCATTGATCTCCTTGTGCTGAACAACATAAGTGACCTTTAGTCATTAGTCTTAGACTACCCTCCCTGCCCCTGATGTAAGTCTTGTATGTACAGACTTGTCATCTCTTGATGTTTTTCTTCCAGGCGTTCTTCATCTTCACCCAAGTGGAAGATCATTGGGCTGCCACCTGTCACAGCCATAGTTATCCTTTGGTCCTCAACCACTGTGCTTCCCCTCAACTATCCGAGGTCTACCCAGTGGGCTGTCCTGGGGACCTAAGGGGTCCACACCTGCCCTGCAGAATTGAGGACCAACACTGCAGGGCCCTAAATGACACTGGCTCCACCATCTCTCTTGCCTGGCCAGGATTGACCAGGGCCTCCCAGCTGGTTGGACACCGACAACAGCCTGCTTCAGGTCTGTCCAGATGCTGGGATAGCGGCGCTTGAGGGACAGTGGACTCTTCACACACCACGAGCCACACAAGCGCTGAGGACACCAACGGAGTTGCCATTTGGCAGCCCTGTGGACCAAGACCTAGCAGGAGACCTGGGGCCGTTGTATGCGCAGGAGCTCCAGCAGCGTATGGAAATGGTCCGTCAGCTTGTCAGGAAGCACCAGGAGCAGGCCGGGGGCCACCAGAAGAGGGCAAATGGTGCCCATAGCCTGGACTAAGTTTGGTCAGAATGGGTTGGTTATTGCTGTTGGAGCGTATGTGTCTTTTGGGTCCGTGGGACGTCCAACCCTTAAGCAAGGGGGCTGCGTAGTGCATGGCGGTAGGGGATTGGATAAGCCGGACCCCGCCCCCTTCCCATCATTCTGTGCAGTAACCGCTTACCTGATGAGCGTCCACCCATGAGCTGACCGAGAGGTGTGAAAGGTGTGAGGGGCTGAGTCTGTAACTGAGTGTCTAGAAAAGATAGAAGTGGGAATGCCCTACTAGTTTTTTTTAAAGATACTAATAAAAGAGTATTTTTTTCTACCCACACTGTGTGTTTACCTCTATCTGTTACACCACCTGCTTCTCTCACTCACCTGTGATGCAACAATGCAGCAATTTTTACAGTGCTGTTTCTTACAACTGACATTAATTTCTGACTGATCATGCATACATTTTTGTAACATAGTACTGAACTTGAAGTAACTGAGACTCTAAAATTACTTCACCTGGGAAAGGTTGCAGTATAACTTGCTATTATGACAGTGTGTTTTTGGCTATATTTTACATTATATGTGATTTATACATATGTAACATGCATCAAGTGCAATTTTAAAATCTAGCATATTATACACATCAACCAAAACTACTAAATATATATGACTATTTATCAAACCATCAACAATTACTGTGTAAGCATTATTATTTCTGTTAAAAATGATTGTTTCTGCTTTTTAAAATGAATATTGCTTTAAACCAAATGATTGCAAATTAGGTTTGAATCCCTTTGGAGTGAAAAGGAACATATATATTATATATATATTAATCGGATAATTATTTTGTGTAACAATTATAATTAAATTCCATTTAAATTCCACATGTGACATGTATCTCACTTTTTGATTAGCGAAATGCAGGGCTACTCAGTAGACCCCAATAAAGGAGCGTAGAAATGCAGCCAATCATAACAGAAGGTAATCTCATGCTGCCATCCGTCGGTTCAAATAGCAAATTACACCGCCTTTAATTATCAGCAGTGAAGGAATTAAAAACCTTTCAATTATTTAAACAAATTTTTGATGTTACTGGGTGATGTGTAAGTTCTGTTGAAAGGTTTTCTATTTAAAAAAAAAAACATAGCCACAAATACAGGTCTTGTATAAATAAAGATAAAATAACCATATGTACCTGTTAATATTTGAATATCTGTATGACACGGATTCTCGATCAATATCACTATTATGTGAAATATATTCTACATACTTACACAGATTAAATTTCGTCTATATAATTACCTGTAAATAATTACACATGCTTCGCTATGTTTTCTTTATTTATTAAAACCTAGACTTTTTTCTTGTAAAAATTTCTCTATTGTGTATTGATTTCGAGGTGCCGTACGATTTCGGATTGACGTTAGCGCTCCGACAATCAGTGCACGCGGCCGGCTAGGCTAATCGGCTAGCCGTATATAGCGGCGCCCCAACGCACGTCCAGTTTTTGCGTCGCCTCGTTACGTCGGACGACGTACGCGGCTCGCTCTCGCGCAGCCTCGTCCTCCTCCTCTTCCTCTTCCTCCGCCTGCCGCTGGGGCTGATTGACAATAATAGCGACGCGTCCGTCTGGAGTTTCGTGTCAGCGGCGGGGGGGCACTTTTCAGAAGGGTAGCCGGTCCGTGGCGACTTGAGTGCGAGCGGCCTTCGCCGGGCGAGCGTGTAAATGAAGCAGAAATAAGAAAACCTCGCGTTGCTAAAGAGAAACTCGCCTTTTGCGGGGAGCTCGAGGGGGGAAAGGCTCGGTTCCGATGCTGAATTCTGTGGAAAAGCGACATCAATACAAAGATCCTATTACGTACTGGGCCGGTAAGAAAAATTGTGGGTGTGTTTTATTTTTTTTTCCCCAAAAGAAAATAAGCGAATAAACGGCATTTTAAAAAAGCAAATTCGGGTGATATAGACTTGCACCCGTAACGCCGCCTTTAAAAATAACGATTTGTAGCGGGGAAAGTTTGTAGCCGAAAAAAATGCAGACTTTTAGTGCTGGGCGTCAGCCCTACTGACCGCTTTGGAACCGGACCCCCGCCTGTTTAAAGGGACGATCCGCCGAAAAAACAATCCGAATCGTGCAGTCAAAGTTGGATCCATCTGTTGAGTGTTTTTAACTCAATGTGCGAGATCCCGACGGAGATCCCTTGGAAGGCTGCTGCGCCCTTAATTATGTGTCTATCGGCCCCTCTTGCATGTTGGGTTAAGTGGGCATCACTCGTTTACATATATTTGGCAACAAAACGGGGCGATTTTGTGCACCGCCTTATCGATGTGTTGATCTGAATTGTATTTTGATTTTTTTTTATATAAATTGCTTTAATTAAGTCGCAGAATTTCCTTCCCTCTCTGTCTCTCTGTCTAGCCGGACTGCAGAGATCCGACAGGGATTTCTTTTGTGTCCCGTCAACAGCAAGGTGCCAACGGATTTTCTCGACCCCCTTTTCCACCAAAGACTGATAAACGTGCCATTGTCCCCGTAACCCTTGTGGATTACAGATCGATCTGCCATATTTCTGGACCTTCACAACTTTTGACCCGAGTGAAGATTTTTAAAGCTGTTCTCGGACCATCCAGACGAGGAATCGCTGTGCAGGCGGTGTCACGGATCTACTCCACCTGCACAACTGCTAGCTGAGCATCTACCGCTGCTTGTCTGACTCCGCGGGGCGAAAAGCGGCATCATAGCCCGATTAAGCTGGTCTTACCGCCGCGCACTCGCCCGTAAATGACCACCGGCAGAAATAATCGCATCATGATGGAAGGTGTAGGCGCAAGAGTGGTCAGGGGCCCGGACTGGAAATGGGGGAAGCAGGACGGGGGAGAGGGCCACGTCGGCACGGTGCGGAGCTTCGAGAGCCCCGAGGAGGTGGTGGTGGTGTGGGACAACGGCACCGCGGCCAACTACCGCTGCTCCGGCGCCTACGATGTGCGGATTTACGACAGCGCGCCGACCGGTGGGTAAAATCCCCGACACCGCGAGTGCTACTAAGCCGTCAATTTAATGTAAGATCCACCGGATCCGATCTTATTTTATGATTCAAATTATTTTGCGCAAGGTAGTTACATAAAGTAAACGGAGAGGAAAGTTTCAAGTCACTTTCTGTCTGGAATTCAGTCGAATGTCGAAAATACAACTTACGGGTGGAAGAAATGAAACACACAAGGGCCATGTCTGGCTGTGACAAACGAAACTTGGGCAGATGTCGCTGAAATGAAATATCTATTCATGTTCAGGTGAAACTGTTCTGTTTGCGTTAGAAATATCTTTGAGTAGACTACGTTCTTATAATATACAGCGATAATTTTTGATCAAGTTGTAATATTCATGTATCTTTATGCCGTTTTGATGTTTGGAAGGACATTACATTTTTAGTTTTTGATGTAACATCCCAAATTTATCACCCCACCATCGGCAGATAGGCTAAGTAGGCCTTATTATCTCAAATTTTCTTTAAATGCTGAGTGAAATCAGGCTAAAGCACTATGTTGGTACAAAAAATGATCACTTTAATAATTATGTAATGTCAATGATGTGAAATGATCTTTGTTTCCCCAAACTGTCAGTTTTACATTATTTGTGCATATAATAAAACACACTGTGATGTTTGTTTTTTTTTTTTTTTCCTTTTGGTAAGTTTTAGTACCGCACCAGTCGGCATCAGAGAGACCCCCTAACAGAAGCATTCATTTGGTTTTGCTATTATTTCTGCTGATATTTAGGCAAAATCCAAGTCTCTTTCCGCCGTCTGTCGTGTGCTGGTGTACAAGATGCCAAGGGTGTTGTTTCAGAGGCAGACAAAGCGTTGTTTTTGCTAGTTTCCGGATCTGTGCCAGATGCTGGTTCGCTCTGACCGCAGTGTCACTGGTTTAAACCACTTCCTCCCACTATGCCCGCTGTGGCTCTTTTGGCTCTGACCCTGCCGCGTTCTGTTCCTCTCTGACGTGATTGTTGTATCTCTTCTCCCCTTCCTGCATCTGAAGTCTCTGCCTGGGGATGAAACTTCTCTGTAGTCCGTTTAGTAGTGGCTGAGTTTTGGTCGCCGTTATGAGGCATTCAGAATGAGTTCCAACATAACGGTGACGGTGACGATTGCCTGCTCTGAAAATACTTCTGGCTCAAAATGCTTCTCAGTAATGGAGACTGAGACCAGGTCCACTGTGCAATAGCTGGGCAGCTAGTCCTGTGCTAATGGCTAATCCCAAGCCAACAGGCAGAGAGGCAACTTTGCCACTTAGCATTTACGCTATAGAGTGTAGTACTCCTGTGCTATGCCACCACCAACCACCTCGGGGCGCTCTTCCCACTCCTCATCAACTGCTTGATCGTTACTTGCAGCCTCCCTCAATTCCAGCTGTTCTTAGAGTTCCAGTCTGTTACTACGGTCCTGAACAAATCGGATGTAATTTTTATTTTTAGTTTTTTTGTTTTTGTTTTTATCCTGGGTGGTTCCTTTTTTCCTCAGTTGTCTTACCTATTAGCAATATTAATGCTGAGAGTTCGGAAGTTTTGCAGCATGCTTCTTTCTGAATCGTGGTGCTCTGCTGGTCGCTGCCTGTCATCCCTTTCACCTCGACACAGGATCCCCCTCTTCCATGCCGACGTTACCGCGGTGCTGGATTTTTGTGGCCTGGCCCTTTAAGGTGCACCCCGCTCACCTGCTTCAGCTTGCCTTTACTCGTGCAAAAATGCGATGCTGTCAGCCTGGCCGTCGGTGGTCCTTGGCTATCGTCTAAATTAAGTAACGCGGTGGTCGGTTTGTGCATTTTTGCTTCACTCCCCAGCTTCCGTCAGATATTTCTCCTGTCCAGATGTTGGAATCTCTCTCACCTCTGAAGTACAGACGCTCCTCTACTTACGAACTTTCAAACATACGAACGAATAGGACTACAAGTTGGGCTCCCGTTTCCTGTCCGCAACATTATTTTTTTTTTGCGTGCCAATTCCGCCTAGTACGCCTTCCGGCCTCTACTCCCGCCGCGCAGCAGCGTAGCGTGCGTACTCCCAGCATCCTAGTTCTTAGTACTTGCGTATATCCTTAAAATGATGTTGAATAACGCCTTCCGAACATTTGAAGTTACGAACGGCCGTTCGGAACGTGACTCGTTCGTAAGCAGAGGAGCATTTGTACAGTGCAAAGAAATGTCATGCAGCTCTCCTACCATGTAATTAGCTAAAGGTACAGTAGTAGTTCCGCTTTGCCTAATATTCAGCTCTCCCTGCTATTAAAGCAGCTGTTTTCACCCGCCACTGAGCTGTTACTGCCAAAAGTGTAATGTGAGGGGCCCGTTTTGGGCCAGAGAAGTGCACATAAAAGTAAAATAAGTGGGTGCACACATGAGGTCCTGAAATCAGCAAGGCGGCTTGCAGCCTTCTTCCTCCCCCCTTCCTCCTCCCCCCCCACCGGTGCAGGAAAAATGCAGACTGGCGCTTCTGGGTACTTTTAAACGCTGGACTAAATGTTTTGAATCAAGTGAAGGAGATAAGGACAGAGCCTAAAAATAAAGGTGCATGGCAAATACCAGTCATGCTGGATCTGTGGAAATTTCTGTTTTTTTTCTCATTAGCTTCACTGTCTCCCACCCACGCCCCCCTCCGCTGGTCCTCACCTCATGTTTTTGGATGGGCATGCAATGCTCTAACCCTTCTGCCCCCCCATTCCCCACCTCAGGCATCAAGCACGACGGGACCATGTGTGATACCTGCCGCCAGCAGCCAATCATCGGCATCCGCTGGAAGTGTGCAGAGTGCACCAACTACGACCTGTGCACCACCTGTTACCACGGGGACAAGCACCACCTTCGCCACAGGTTCTACCGCATCACGACGCCGGGAAGCGAGAGGTCAGTCCCGTGCCCCCGCCGCTCTGCGTCTGAGTCCGGCGGTGCTGTTCTATGTTGGCACTCCCCTTAATCCTTTGTCGTTCTGGGTCACTGTGGAATCACGGATGTGTGTTAATCCCCTATCATCTTGGAAAACAAGAGAGCCCAGTACTCCAGGAGTGGTTATGGCTGCCTGCAGGGACCACAGAGATGCTTTAGTAATTAATTAGGATCTCAAGTACTGTTCTTGTGACCGGAACCTGTTTGGCTCTCTGTTTTAGTGCTGAGCTCTGTTTTTCCTGGTCCTGTTTTGTCAGTAGACCCGGTTTCGGGCTATAATGACCACACCTCTGTGTACTTGGATTAGGGGATTATGTGTTAGAATGGGAGGCGTGTGACTGAGCTCGCGAGACGAGTCCCGCCCCTCCCTGCGGCTGCGGAGGGGCCGGTCAACTGTCGCCAGGCAACATCCTGCCTGTGTCTGGCGGCCTCTAGCTGTTTGCTGGAGTGCGTAATTCCGCGGAGAAGAGGCCATTTCCTGCCCCAGTGCCGCTGGCATTGCGTAACGAGGACGAGACTGGCGCTCTGTGTTCTCTGAAGTGTAGCCCCCCCCCCCAGAGCCTGTATTATCTGTATCTCACTGTGGGGGCAGTAGATTCTGGAGGATTGAGCTGCCTGTGGCTCCAGGGAGAGTCTCAGTGGTGCTGGGCTTCTGTTAATTGGTGGGAAAGGGGATGTATTTCAGAGTGCCTGGACTGGGGCTTTTCTGTAACTGTAGATATGAACCAGTAGACTGCGACAGAGCTGACTGTCCTTAGGGCAGACAGTACACATTGCTGCAATTTCTTTACATGCTTAATGCTATTAATATCAGTATTTCATCATGGTCAGTGGTGGGTAGTTCAGGTCCAGGGAGTAAAAATCCAGACCAAGATTTTGTTTCAACCAACCAGTTGAATACTCTGTGACTGACACTTTTTATTTAAACTGGTTGGTTGAAACAAAATCTTGGTCTGGACTTGAATTTACCCACCTCTGTTCATGGTTCATATTAATACCACTTTATGAGTCTTGGATCTGATGATTCTAGTACTTCAGCTGTGTTGTCGGTGTGATGTGGATTAACTCAGATCTAGAGTGAATCTCAAATGCCCTGCTGGGGTGTTTTTGCTGTGTGGACCCAAGCAGTGGCATGTTGGTTACTGTGAAAACGGTCATTGTTATTGCTATTTCCTGTTTTGTCAATTGACCAAAAATAACTTTTTTGTAGTGCTTGGTCTTTTTTTTCCGGAGCTGTTGTGACGGAATGTGTATCAGGGAGATGCTCAATATGAATCTAAGTGTTTTTAATCGTAAGGTTTGATTAATGTTGTTTATTGACGAGTGATGGAACAGCAGTGATTTGGAGTGAAAAGGGAGAGTGATTAACCTGGCTGTTAATAAGATCTTGAATAGAAGCGGAGAAGGATGCCGGTTACGGAATGCAGGCCTCACATTGGTGTTTATGACGGATTTCCCGCACTGACCTGGACGTCTGCTGTTTACATGTAAATATAGACGGATCCATCCGTCAGCTTTCTGTTTGCGCAACACTGCTAATGCTACAGCGTAAGTGTGAAATCATCCATAGCCCTGCGGACGCCTGGGCTGTCGTGGTGTTGAACTGCAAATCCCCCCTCCCTCGGCATAAAATAAAAAACCAACCCTCCCCGGTGACAATAGACCAGAGCAGCAGCTGGTCACCTCACGCCGGCTGCGGCCGTGGGTCTTTGTGGGCCGTTGGTCTTTGTGGGATGACAAATAAAGAGCAGCCCACACGAGCCCCTGGATAATGGCCTCTGAGGGTATTTCCTCGCCCAGCATGCCTGCCTGGGGGCTGGGGGTATCAGAAGCAGACCCAGCTGCCCCGTTTGCCGCATGGGTTTCAGGGGGCTGTGGAGGGAACAGCAGCATAAGATTTTTTTTCCTTGAATCATTTGTTCAGAAGTTACTGCAAGGATCCTCCCCAATAAATTTTAACCGCTCTGCTCCCATCTGCAGAGTCCAGTGTTCAATGCAGAGTGTGTGTCCCTGTACCAGGAACTAGGTCTGGCTCTGAGGAATGTTAGCCTGAAAGCAGCACTAGGTTTCGTTGTCTTGAACCTCTTCTCTTCTGGTGTTCACTATGCACAGTTGCCTCGAACCTCTTCTCTTCTGGTGCTCCCCATGCACATCTGCAGATCTAACGCAACTTTTGAGAAGCCTTTCGATCGAAAAGTTCTGCTTCCCGAGTTGCTGCCAGATATTCTTGGCTGGTTCCAAACGTTGTAAGAAATGGGTCGTCTTCCCTAGCAGATGTGTGGGAAATGCAGCAGAAGCTGCAGTGTGGTCTGTACATGCGCCGATCCGGGCAGAATCCCAAACTCTCTGCTCACCACTGTCACGAAATGCTCCTACTGCATTACTATTTCCAACACCTTTTTATTACGGTTAAATGAAATCCCGACCCAGTGGGCCTAATTAATAATAGACTTTCCAAACGTGTTTCCTGTAAGATTCCCCTCTTGCCCAGTTCCCAGAGTACAGTGATGAAAGGGGTCTAAAGACATTAAGAGTGAATTGGAAGTGGAATCTGGGCTGTATTCCAGACATTCTGAAAAGGGTTTACTGGTTCTTCAAAATGCGTTTGAGTTTCTGTAGGTAAATGTGCTTCTTTATCCTGAATGTTGCACTGCAACACATGCATTGAAGTAGGTTTTCACCTTTAACTGCGGAGGAGAGACTAAGTTCGGTGTTACGGAGCAGGTCGCCTTGGTAGGGGATCGAGTCATGCAGCTGTACACTGTGGAGCGTGCTCAGTGATTGCTGAAGAATTTGCTGATGGATCATTAAATACAGAAAACAAATTACTCAAATTCACTTAAACCCAAAGGTTTACATGAAGTCGTTTTGGTTGTGGTCTCTGTCACACATCGCTAGGTTGCTTCATAGTGCTCTGCTTGTCCGTGCCCATGTCTGTCAAATAAATGTATGTTTCGGGGAATCATCTCCATGTCACCATTGAGGAATGTAGCCTTTGACTCTTCAGCAGTTAATTTGGCGGCAGTTCCTGGACTCTAGGACTGTTATACTTGATCTGGTCTTTTAAGCTCTCATACTATGATAGAAAAGGAAAAGGGGAGAGAGAGAGTAGCATCTCCGGAGTGGAGGAGATGGGCGTGGTTGACTGATGGAGAGGCTAGTTCACTGAGGATAGAGTCCACGTCCCAAATCACACCTTCCATCAGTCATTGTTGATGTCATCCTTTCATTTGCAGTTGCTCCAGTTGCTCCAGTTGCTCTGTGATGGTAGCAATAAGTCTAGGCCTAAAAGCAATGAAACAGCCAAACTTGTCATGCGTTGCATGGGTGTTCACACCTGGATGCAGATGTTTTTGAATGAATAGGCAGACATTACCAATGTTATGGACACCTAGTCTACAGTTTTATCCCAATCTGCATATATTTAATCTTTTTCTACAGCTGTATCTTGTACTGGGCCTGTCTTTGTAGGTGCCATGCTCTTTGCTGTCGTTTGAAACTTTCTTGCCTATTGCTCATCGTTTATTTGGAAAGCCGGGATGCCACTTTGGAAGATGGCGCTCTCTTGCTAAACCTGAATCCTTCGGGGTTCCTGTGTTTCAACAGGGTTCTGCTGGAGTCCAGGAGGAAGTCCAAGAAGATCACAGCGCGAGGTATCTTCGCAGGAGGCCGTGTGGTGAGAGGTGTGGATTGGCAGTGGGAAGACCAAGATGGCGGCAATGGGAGAAGGGGCAAGGTACGTGTTCCGTGTTGCGGGATGGCTGGTGGAGATGTGCCGTGGTGCAGGATGGCTGGTGGAGATGTGCCGTGGTGCGGGATGGCTGGTGGAGATGTGCCGTGGTGCGGGATGGCTGGTGGAGATGTGCCGTGGTGCGGGATGNCCGTGGTGCGGGATGGCTGGTGGAGATGTGCCGTGGTGCGGGATGGCTGGTGGAGATGTGCCGTGGTGCGGGATGGCTGGTGGAGATGTGCCGTGCATAAACGCAACCCAGCCTTTCGCTGAACAAAGGCTACAATTTGATCCTTTGTGTCGTGTCATCCCTTGTGGTTTCTGAACGTCAAGAAAGGCGTTTTTCAAGCTGCCCTGTTTTATCTGCATATTGTGTTGCTTGAAACTCGGTCAGCAGGGACACAATGGCCTGGAATGATCATTATCAGCATGTATGACTGGAGAGTCACATCACGTGTTTTTCAGGCAGTAGCCCTCTGCTGGTCTCGCTGGTTATTTATTTTTATTTATCCTTTATTTTACCAGGAAAGTTCCATTGAGATACGATATCTCTTCTTCCTGGTCAAGATGGCAGCAAATAAGAAAAGACAAAAGTTTCATATACATACATACATACATACAGAGATGATTAATAGGAACACAGACTAAAACGTATAGAAATACTCAAACTGTTTTGGGATCCAGCATCTTCAGTAGGAACTCGTACCTGTGGCTCTAAACTGTCAGAGGCCACAAATCTTGTGATTTTTTTTTTTTTTTTTTTTTGGAGTGTAATATTTCTGGAAGTGTGGTGAAACGATGTGCACAGAAATATTTTTGTATCATTTTAAATATTAAATGTGAGTCAGAATCCTTTAATTCACCAAGTACAAAATGTACAAGGACTTTGTTTTGGTGGCAAGAGGTATGCAGTTGAATTAAAAGAGAGCAGGAACAGAAATGTGAAATAAACGTGCGTAAATAAATGTGTTAGAGGTGAGGCAGTGACTTGAGTGCAGGCCTGCAGCAGTTTGTGTGATCGGGCTCCTGTCTTGTCCGCACAGGTAACAGAGATCCAGGACTGGAGCGCCGCCAGTCCGCACAGCGCCGCCTACGTCCTGTGGGACAATGGAGCAAAGAACCTCTACAGAGTGGGCTTCGAGGGCATGGTGAGGAGGCCCGCGCCGGGGAGGGGCGGAGGGCAGGCCTTTGTCTCCAGTGAAAGAGCGGACCTTTCTGACCGGTGTGGGGCCCTTTGTGGCCGCCTCGTGGAGAGCGTGTGCAAGCAGCTGGATGGGGCGGCCTGGGGAATCCTGGGCCTCCCGCGCATAACAAAGGACATCTGCTCTCAGCCTCCGCCACACAAAGGGGAAGGAGCCAAGGAGGTCATGTGGGGGTGGGGGGGGGGTACGCTGCGCTCTGATTGGTCGATGGGGAAGCTGGCTTCTTTTGAAAAGTGGCTATTCAGCGTGCTGCCGGAGGCTCTGTTGTGGTATCTTCTGGCACGAGGGCATTATTATTGGGGAGATGATTAACGTGGCGGGTGTGAGCGCAGGGAAAAAAAACACCCAGAGTCTGAGCTCGCAGGGCACCGGTTACGCCTCTGTGGGCCGGCAGTGACGAAGGCCGACATGTTAGCCAGAGTTAACAAGCAGGAAGCCTGCGGCATCACCGGCGGCGTCCCGTCCAATCAGGGTGTCCCTGGGTGGGTCAGGTGACTGCCCATCTGATACGGGCCCCACACATGTTCACACTTTGCCCTCTGTCTCTGCCTCCCCAGTCTGACTTGAAATGTGTCCAGGATGCCAAAGGGGGGAGTTTTTACAGAGACCACTGCCCTGTTCTGGGTGAGTATCGGCGCTGTCATCATCTGCCTCCCATGTCACGCATTTAAAAAATGAATCTGTGCCCATAACAAAACCTTTGTGTTGCTAGTGAGAGCAACTTTAGCTTGCTTCACTGGGATGCTCAGTGCAGTAGCACAGGTCAGCCACTAGAGGTCAGCTCCTGACAGTTGAAACCTTTAATTACCGTATTTTAGTACGCATGTAGATTTTCACTGGAGGTTATACATAATATGTATATTTAGCCAAATATAGAACTTGATATTTAAAAGTCATTGAGCTTAATTACCTTAAATAAGTTAATGGTCTAACTGGTAGGTTTGCGATATGAGTGAGATTTTTAGCCTCTATTGCACCATGTACTGCATCACTGACCCGAAACGCATTACTAGGTATTTTAAAGAGGCCACAGTTATGCCTGAGGCATTATGGGAAGGTGTACACTGGCCTGGAACCATTTTTCAGTGTTTATTTCTGCTATTGGGCTGCAGCGTGTTCCAGATATGTATCTGAGCAGCACTGAGCCCTCGTCTCTGAGAAACCTCAGACGTGACGTACTCCCCTCTCAAGCTGCCACGTGGTCGTCGTTACGATCCGGACATTCTGCCTTTTCCGTCAGGACCCCCGATTGTAAAAGGCTTCACTCCCATATGTCGTTAGTCTTCATGATTTTTGAATCCAGTTGGTCCTTTTCGTCTCATGCTCCGTAAGCTGATTTTTGCCCCAGTAGTCAGTTTTTTTTCTTCTTCCTTTTCTGGAATTGCCACCCCCCCCCCCCCCACACACACACACTAACTGATAGGGTCCTTTGCTCTCACCCCACCAGGTGAGCAAAACGGTAACCGGAACCCGGGTGGGCTGCAGATCAGCGACCTGGTGAACATTGACCTGGACCTAGAGATCGTGCAGTCGCTGCAGCACGGCCACGGCGGCTGGACTGACGGCATGTTCGAGACCCTCACCACCACCGGCACCGTCTGCGGCATCGACGAGGACCACGACATCGTGGTGCAGTACCCCAGCGGAAACCGGTGAGACTTTCCCCATTCCTGTGATTGCGCTGATGAGGGCCTTGTTTTACGCTGTTCTGAAATCCAAGTTCTGTAAAGGACACTGCGGCTTCTGTGCTCAGTTCTGCCCTCTGCTGGTGAGGAGTGGAATGACACCCTTCATGTTTATCCTTTGAAAAGAGGGGAGTATGGAGCAGGTAAAGATGTCAATCAATCCCTTCCCCCAAAGCACATCTTATAATCTCCGATACAGAGAGTCTACGAACTCGTAACCTTGGTTACAAGACTTTGGACCTTTTTTGTCAAGGTTTAGCACGTAGACCCCACCAGAACCATTTAAATACACGTTAACCCTCACCCGGCACTTCTGAGCAAGCACACGCACGTGTCCTCTGTTGACCTCTGGTCTCACAGCTGGCGCGAGGTCGCCGGGCGGCCTCCGTGCCGGCATTCTGAGGGCCGAGGCTGCCATGAGGTCAGGAATGGGCGGCTGTTCCGGCAGCATTCCTTTGAATTAGACCATCCATCAGTGTCCCCTGGGGTCCAGGCGGCAGCTGGCTTCAAAGCCACATGGACGTCGGCNTGTCGCTGCTGCTGAAGAAGCTCTTCGAGACCCAGGAGTCGGGAGACATCAACGAGGAACTTGTGAAGGCAGCAGCCAACGGAGACCTGGCCAAGGTGGAGGACATCATGAGGAGGCCTGACGTAGATGTGAGTGTCTGACGCCGGGCCTTAGCGCCCCCTATGGGTGGGCCGCCGTGTTCGTTTTTGGTTAACGTAGTAGACAACGGAAAACCGAATATTTAGAAATCGTACATAACAGCTTTCATAAGGGCCCGTTCTCCCACATTGGTGTTTGAAGGACGCCCAGTCCACGCCTGCCTGTATCAATCGCAGGACTGGGGCATCCGTCTTATCGCACACGCGAGTGTCCTGCTGTTTGGCGCGGCCTGCCATCTCCGACCCGGGCCCCCTGGGGCTCGTTCCTGTGCCGCCCTCTGTGGGGTCTGGAGTCGAGCCAGGCCGCCCCACCCGCCCTTCGTCTGTCTCCCGCTCCGGCAGCGCTGTCAGCGGCCGGCGCTCCTCGACGTGGCGTCCCCGCTGGCACCGGGCCGCGAGCGGTACAAGGGCAGGTTGGCAGTCCAGCGCTCGGTCACATTTTGGCAGAGTTCCTCAGTCCCATCCCTTCGGATGCCACACGCCGTGATGTGCACTGTGCCTACCCACAAGGAGCATAAAAACCGCAGAATATAAACAAAAGGTTCTGATGATGGAGTACGCACGAGCGTCACCGGTCAGGCCTGCTTTCGAGTAGCCGGCGGTGGTGTATGAAAGGTTTGAAATAGTGAGCATAGTGTACAGTATATGTTGACTTACTGTAAATAACTTGTGCGTCCCTGAAGGCACACACTGCTGTTGATTACCTGATTCTGACCTTCAGCGCTCTTTGACTTTCAGGAATAGCAACTCTTTGGAGGTTTGGTAATTGCTTTCCATTCCTCCGATTATGATTATTAAATCATTCCTGGCCTCCGTATTGGGATTAACCTGTCTGTGACAGAGACCGCAAACCTGGGTGTGTTTCCCAGACCAGGAGAGTGTTTACTGCTGTTTACGTCTCGCATCAAACTCCTGTGGACTTGGGTCTGCCCCCCCCCCCCCCCCCCCCCCCCCCCCCCCCCTCGTTGGGGAAACTTTGCGCTAAAGTGCTACTTAAAGGACAGACCCCCCCAGCCCCAAACAATGGGGGCGCGAAGGTCCGGCTGCCAGTCTGTCGTTCGCTCGGCGGGGTGCCTTTGTCCTGCGGAGGCCTGTCACTCTCTGTGGGCAGCCCCTCCAAGGCCAGCTGCTGCGGAGGTCTGCAGAGAAAGTACCGGAAGCTCCGCTTGCTTAACCCAAAGACCCCGGGCTGGGAACCAAACTTTGTGACTTTTTAAATTCAGTCACTTCTGTAAGGTTCAGGCCTAGTGATGGAGCACCAGCCTTTACTTAACTAGTGGCAAGTTAGGGGCATCTTAAAAACAAATATCACTTTGGTAATATGATTTAACCCTGGTTGCATCGTCGGTGGTGGTGTTTATCACTACTCAAACCACGCATCTGCCCCCTGATGGCCATAAACGGTCACTACACTAATTATGAAAGGAACACATTTCTTATTTAGGTGCTGAAGTAGTTACCAGCTATGGTCAGCTATGATGGTTGTTTAGAGATCAGGAGAACATAAAAAGAAATAAAGTATTTTGTATAATATACTAGAACAGCACGACATTAGAAAATTTCTAAGTATTGCAATGTGATTTTGTTGTAATACATAATGGGGTAATTATAAAACAAAAAAGGAGTTCAACATGAATTTTTCAAAAACTCTAGGAGTGATTTTAAACGGCAAGGATGAAAATGATTACGATTGTCTCGGAGAACACATGCAGCGTTCGTGCAACGTTGCAGAGGTAAACTTGAAACTGATTTTTAAACATATGCTAGATAATCTTGAAAAGGAATAATTTAAATTGCAAAACTTGATAACCTATGATAGAGTAAAAACATTTTTAGCAAATCTCTCTTAAACTCCCTGCACTATAATAAGAAAAACCATGACTGGCAAAGTAAGAATTGCACAGCACAACATGCGACGTTGGTATTAATATCTCACACCGGCCAGCCATATAATATACTACAGCCATTGTTGAAATTCGGAACAAAATACCCTGCCTCGCGCTGTGATGTCATTCAGCGCCGGTACCGTTTTTTTATGCCAGTTGAAAACCAAGACCTTGAAGTACCGTAGTTTTGGTGCTCTTGAACTACAGAAAATAAGGTAGCTGCTGAGGTGGAAAAGCACCCTTTAAAGAGAATGCAGAATTATGGGATGCCTGAGACTCTCTGGGGAGAAGTAGGAGCGCTTGTTTTGATCCAGCTGATGTAATACAATGCAGAAGAAGCGTTGTACTTTCGAAATGAGATGGCATAGGGGTGTGAATCGAGAGGTTTTTTTTTTACGGTTAATGGTGCAGCCCTACTCCAAAGAGTCTTTTCTGGAGCCCCACTCAAAAAGTCAAACCGCCCCAATGTATCTTACCGTGTCCGTGGGCCTCGTGTGCACCTATAGGTGGACGTTCAACCCGGCTGTGCTGACCAAGGCCAATGTGGTGCGCAGCGGCGACTCGGCAGTGGGGGCCGAGGGCGGCAGCTCCCAGTTCATGGTGGGCGACCTGGTGCAGATCTGCTACGACATCGACCGCATCAAGCTGCTCCAGAGGGGCCACGGGGAGTGGGCCGAGGCCATGCTTCCGGTGAGTGGCTTCGAGCGTATCTCCAGTAGTGTGGTGGAAACGTTATGCACGATATCCGATCAACAACCCTCTGGCGCCCCCACCTGGCACCTCAGAGTACAACATCTGTCAGTGATTTCATTTCCTGGAAAGCGATCAATACTCTATCCTCATTCAGAGTGAATCTAATACTGTGCTGAAATCAATAATGCCCTCAACATAAAGCCAAACAAATGCTATGACTTCAGTGTATGTGCAATGCATACTCTGAGAAAGGGCTGCAATAAGCTGAATGTCCAACCAAGCACTTTCCCTGGGTTTAATTATTTTAGGGAGCAGATTCTTTTGCTGTTGACTTTGAATGAGACCCTTTTTGGGCTTTGAGAGCGTGCTTCATGGGCAAATGGAAGTGGCTGCTTGTGTTGAAGAGCTTGGCATCAGTGTAATGGTGAGATCTAGTATAACGACGCAGTGTGACGGAACCCAGTTGAGTATCGTCTCAGGAAATGACTGCGTAGAGTATGTATTTATCCATTTTTCCTTTAGAAATGGTTATTCTAAAGGAGGGCAGGCTCTGTTTAATTCTGTCTGCTAGCCGTCTCTCCAAACCCAGACAGTTGTCCTCTTTCCAGGGTAGATCCTCTGCTTGAAAGTGGGTCTTTTTCCCTTGATAAAACATGCGAAAGTAACACGCTCTTCCTTCAAGCTGCTTTACGATGCTTTTAGCATGTTATGCTTTGAGACGTGCCCGGCTAGACCACCAGCAGCCCCGGTACAGGCCGCTGACCGCCCTGGCTGGCCTCTCTTCTTGCCACAGACCCTGGGCAAGGTGGGTCGCGTCCAGCAGATCTACTCCGACAACGACCTGAAGGTGGAGGTGTGTGGGACGTCTTGGACATACAATCCTGCCGCCGTCACCAAAGTGGCCCCCGCTGGTTCGGCTGTCAGCAACTCCTCCGGAGGTTCGTAGGCGCGTCTTCAAATTGGAAGGAGCGGTTCTTTACATTGGGGGGGATGGCCATGTCGGGTGACTTTTTTTTTTTTTTTTTTTTTTTTTTTTTAATTATTATTTATTTATTTATTTTTTATTTTATTTTATATTTTTATTCTTCCCCCCCCCCCCCCATTCCAGAGCGCTTGTCGCTGCTGCTGAAGAAGCTCTTCGAGACCCAGGAGTCAGGAGACATCAACGAGGAACTTGTGAAGGCAGCAGCCAACGGAGACCTGGCCAAGGTGGAGGACATCATGAGGAGGCCTGACGTAGATGTGAGTGTCTGACGCCGGGCCTTAGCGCCCCCTATGGGTGGGCCGCCGTGTTCGTTTTTGGTTAACGTAGTAGACAACGGAAAACCGAATATTTAGAAATCGTACATAACAGCTTTCATAAGGGCCCGTTCTCCCACATTGGTGTTTGAAGGACGCCCAGTCCACGCCTGCCTGTATCAATCGCAGGACTGGGGCATCCGTCTTATCGCACACGCGAGTGTCCTGCTGTTTGGCGCGGCCTGCCATCTCCGACCCGGGCCCCCTGGGGCTCGTTCCTGTGCCGCCCTCTGTGGGGTCTGGAGTCGAGCCAGGCCGCCCCACCCGCCCTTCGTCTGTCTCCCGCTCCGGCAGCGCTGTCAGCGGCCGGCGCTCCTCGACGTGGCGTCCCCGCTGGCACCGGGCCGCGAGCGGTACAAGGGCAGGTTGGCAGTCCAGCGCTCGGTCACATTTTGGCAGAGTTCCTCAGTCCCATCCCTTCGGATGCCACACGCCGTGATGTGCACTGTGCCTACCCACAAGGAGCATAAAAACCGCAGAATATAAACAAAAGGTTCTGATGATGGAGTACGCACGAGCGTCACCGGTCAGGCCTGCTTTCGAGTAGCCGGCGGTGGTGTATGAAAGGTTTGAAATAGTGAGCATAGTGTACAGTATATGTTGACTTACTGTAAATAACTTGTGCGTCCCTGAAGGCACACACTGCTGTTGATTACCTGATTCTGACCTTCAGCGCTCTTTGACTTTCAGGAATAGCAACTCTTTGGAGGTTTGGTAATTGCTTTCCATTCCTCCGATTATGATTATTAAATCATTCCTGGCCTCCGTATTGGGATTAACCTGTCTGTGACAGAGACCGCAAACCTGGGTGTGTTTCCCAGACCAGGAGAGTGTTTACTGCTGTTTACGTCTCGCATCAAACTCCTGTGGACTTGGGTCTGCCCCCCCCCCCCCTGGCCCCACCGCTGTTCATTCAGCCGCGGTGTTCTCTGACAAACAAGGCCTTATTAAGCAATACCGTGGTGTTGGGGAATCGGGGAGAAGCCGTGACTGTGGTGATGATGGCCAGGCACCGTTCTTTCGATGGGGCACCGAGGGGCAGGGGTGTTTGGGGGGGGGGGGGTGGGGGTTGGTTGACGAGGCCTGTGTTGGTTTGGAGAGGTCCTGTTCCAACGTGGGTGGCCAAGTTGCTGATTTAGAAATAAAATTCCTTAAAAATTAAATATCATTAAGGCGTGGGTTCCCAGAGCTTTTCACCATTATGCCAGTCGGGGGGGGGGGCAGCCCGTTTTACAGAAAGTGGGTGTGCAAGTCCTCCGCATGTCTCAAGAGAAAATCAGCAATGAAAATCAATAAAATTTACATGAAAAATCCCCCCCCCCAACCTCGCGGCATGCGTCGAGAGAGCCGTGGCGTGTTAAGGCCGCGGGGGCAGGGCGTACTGGGTGTCCCTGTTGAGTTTGTGATGGGCGAGTCTGGTGAAATGAAAGATGGGGGGGGAGCTCAGACTGCTCATTTCCCATATTCACCCCCCCATTCCCACACACTGTGTGCACACACTGCTAATGCGCAGTGACCTTTGCACGCCTCGTCCTGAGAGTGATTCTACACCTCGCTGATGTGCTCAGCTGCTCAGGGACGCGGCGAACGTCGCTAACAAAAAGCAAGAGGGCAGTTTGAAATGTCACGGCGCGCAGCAGAAATCTTACAGGACGATTCATTCGCCGGGGTAAACAGTCCCGTGCCAAGAGAGACGGCTCACATTTTTACGGTCAGGTGTGATCGCCCCGGATTACGTGGCCAAACCCTGCTTTCTGCCGGGGGAGGGGGGAATGAGCGCAGGTTCGTTTTTGTGTGATCGGCACGCCTGATCGCTAACCCCAATCACGTTTGACCCTACTCTGATGTGGGTTCCCATCTGTTACAGTCTAAACCATCATCCCCCATCTGCTGGCCCCCGCTTACCTTTGCGTAACCTTCCCTTTGCTACAAGGTTCATGAATATCCCCCCCCCACTCAGGTGAATGGGCAGTGTGCTGGTCACACAGCTATGCAGGCTGCCAGCCAGAACGGTCACGTGGATGTCCTGAAGCTGCTGCTGAAGTACAGCGTGGACCTGGAGGCTGAGGTATGAACCACCCCCCACCCCCCCCAGGTTTTGATCTCACCCATTCTCCCACTGGATCGACCCCCCCCCCCCCCCCCCCCCCCCCC